ACTCCCCCCCCCCCCTTTCTAATTCCTCACTGTACAGAAAAGATAAAAATTACCTTGAAAGCAACCTGGAAAAGAGAAGGGGGCAGGGGGTGGATGCTTGGCAGCTCTGCCTGGCTTACGTCAGCGTCTCGCAGGTAGCGTGTTTCTGCTGTTATCGTGCGTGGGCTCCTAAGCCCAGCTGGCGTGCTTTCCCATCATATCACCCCCTGGCCTGAGACCCTGCTCTCTGCCGTGGCACAATTTCCCTCTGCAGAGGATAAGTAGCTTTACATCGCTCCTTTCGGAGCGTCCTTGAGGTGGGCTACTCTCGTGCCTCTTTCGGAGAGGGATATTGATTATGCTTTTTTTTTTTTTTTTTTTTTTGTTAACGTGGCACAGGTCCCTGGGAGCCCGGGTGGCCTGTTGGGCTAACAAGGCTAAGGGGCATAAGGTTCCATAGGCAAAGTGACGTGAGGAAGGGAGATGCCCTGCCTGGCTGCCTTCGACTTCCCCAGCTCAACAGGCCCGTTCACAGCTGACGTGACTTTGGGAAGCATCAGTGCGAGCTTTGAGTTCCCCTCTCTGAAACCCTGCTGAGACGATTTAACTACTCTGAGCACAGGGCCACAACTGTATGGCATAACTACCTTCAAATGGCACAGAATTTATGCTTAGAGAGAAATTTCTTAGCAAGGAAGCACAAAACCTGGGAAAACAAGGAATAAATCGAAGCAATTAAGACCCCCTTTTTGATGCCATTCAAATCAAAGGTAAGTTAGCCTGAAATCCCCTGCACTGTATTTGTATTCTGTATTGGTGCCACCTTCAGGCTGTTGATAGTAACTGCATGTTTTGTAAGACTGCCCTTCCTAAACAACTGCTAAATCCCCTGCACTTCTTTTTAATTCAGTAGGGAATTCTGCTTTAAAATCCCAAGAGCTCTATAGTCTGTAATTAGCATAGGTAGATTGTAGAAGCTGGGTAAGGACTTAAGCCTGTAGTTTACTTTAACCAATCCCATTTCCATAGGCACACACCCAAAACAGTCAAACACTGCCAACAGCCGGAACGAGCAATTACACAGAAATGAATCTCCAATTCGCTTCAATAGCTTCAAATGTAAAGTTGCCAGAGGATAATTATAAAAGCTTTGAGAGTTTGAGGAGTAAAGTTATCTTAATAATTTAACTGTAGGAGCACACTGACTCATTTTACTGGCAATAGAAGTAACTGTCTCCTGCATAGCATGTTCACGCGTAAGCCAATGTCTGACTTCTTCACCCCACGTTTGCCGTAAGATGGGGAATTTTGTATGAGAAGGAAACGAAGGCTACGCCTCTGTTGTTTGGTAGCTCTTTGCTCTAATAATATCTTTCTGGTAGGGCCTACAGAGCTATTTGCCCATCTGTATGTACTCCTGTATGCTTATAAGCCACCTTTCCCTTCTTCAGATCAAAATTCCTTCGGTATGCCTGGAGTCAGAGCCATTGACTTTGTGCTCTCAGTAATCTCCTGCAGAGACACCACAGCTAAGCGGCTCATCAATGGCAAGTGAAATTCGATATTACTCTAAGGCGTACGGTAGGGACAAATACTCTACTGTAGGAGATCTGAGTTCAGAGTGCTCTCCTCTGCACATCGCAGGTACCTCGGGGTACTTCCTGACTCTCGGTGGGCCGTCCTCCACTTCCGTGAACCTGTCTGGGCTTTGCCCTTCGGAAAGGTGAATCCTGGCTTCTTGGGACACCTTGCCCCAGTTCCAGCATCGCTGCCAGCCTGCTGTGCATCACAGCCTACCTCTGGCCTTCCTCCGGCCTTCCTCCTGCCGGCTTCACCCTCGCTCCCTTCACAGGGCAAGGGCATCTGATCCGCCTTGCAACCCAAGGCACTCTGCAATGCAAGCAAAGAGCAGAGGAGCCCTGTGAAGGCAGGATTGGATGCAGAAGCACCCTTTTCACTACCTAAACCACTTCCTCCCTCCCCCTTCCGTACTGGCCTCATTTCGCTCGCTTCCCACACTAACGAAAGCCTTTGTGAGCTGAGTCACACCTTTTGTGGGGCACACTGTATGCAAAATTCATCCATGCACTTAAAAGATTTCTCAGAAGGTGAGACCTTATGTGTCTTTCGGCTGGGGTATGGGGGGGGGGATCACTGTGGAAAAAAGAAGGAAAACTGGAGCTCCATCCCACACCTGCCTGCAGATGAGGAAGAGAGGATGGCTGTTATGTGAAGGAACCTGCCACTTGAGAGGCTGGGAGATTAGTCAGAAGGACGTGCTAAGAGTGTGTGAAATGACAAACGGGTCTCTTATCCGATGAGGACAAGATGACAGGTGAAGGGAAATTTTAAGCTGTGAAAAATCTTTCTTTCTTGAATTTATTTTCCAGCATAACATACAATGTACATGTCCAGGAATTCCCTGAGGCCAAAAATACATCAAGATCCAGAAAGAGACTAGATGGATATGGACAGCAAGAATATCCAGATTTGTGAGAATTAATGGCAGTAAAAATGTCAGCAGGGATATTAAACTCCATGCTTCAGGGTGCAAGAAACTCTTTAGTCATTAGATCTAGCTGGAGTGAGGAGGAGGAGGATGGGGAGGCAGAGCTCACAGTGCTCCAGCTGCAGGTTTTCTCTGTGTTAGTCTGGTGCTGGTCTCTGTTGCAGAAGGACGCTGGGAAGTGGACAGACTGCTGGTTTGTGTCAGTAGGGTATCTCCTACCTTCGATCCTGCAGCCAGGGCAGGGTTCTGCAGCCACAGCTACCCCGGTAATGCTTTCTGTGGGGGCAAACACGGCTGCATGGACCTCCAGCACAGCAGCTGCTTTCTCAGGTCCAGGGGAACAACCTCCTTCCTTTGAGGGAGATGCCTATTTACAAGTGGTCGTTAGCCACAAATTAAACGCTAAATCCGAGGAACCCTGGACATATGTAAATTTACCGAAGATGAGCCACAATCATCCGAATGTAGCAGATGGCAGCTTCCCAGCTACAGTAGCTGCATGAAACCCTGCTACTGCTGGTGTACGAAGGTGAAAGAACACATATTGCCCTCATGTCAGCCAGGCGCCGAGCTCACTGACAAGGTCTGTGCTGCTTTATGTATCTATCGTGTGGGGAGAGGTGTCTGTGTTTATTTTTGACATGACTGTACTGCTAATGAAAGTCTCCAGCTGATGTTTCCAAATACAGATGGGTGGTACTTTCCCATTAGCATCCCATCAGCTGGAGCCTGTGTCTGTGCAAGCACAGTGGTGCCAAGACCAAGACAGTTCCACTCCAAGAGCCCTGGGGAATCTTCCCATAAGAAGCTCACATGTAGTAGTAAGCCAAGTCTGTGAGGCTACGAGGAAAAGAACGGTGAAGGCTCTTTGAGGTGCTGGAGAGGCCACAAAAGATCTCAACAGAAATTTAATCTCCCAGCTACATTCCTGGTTTGATCTTGGACAAATCAATCAATATTTCCATGCCTCTGTGTTCTGTAAACGTGGGCGCTGACGTCTCTTCTTTCCCATCTCTTTTTCTTCTTGTCTACTTAAAGCAGTGAGTACTTCAGAGCAGGCATTGTCTCCTCTTGTAGGTATAAATATTCTCCAGCCCTAGGCTCTGCTGAAACCCCTGCTGCTATATTAAAGGTGACAGTGGTCTTGGCAAAGATGGAGAACCCTTTTCCTACCAGGAGCAGCAGCGAGGAGTAGGGGAAAGCTAAAGAAGATTAAAAGATGATTGCTTCTATTCATGTCTTAGCAAGAATTTCAGGCTACGACCCATCTTTTAGATATACCCAGTGCGAGCGCTGCTGATCTTGCCTCTGTGTAGGAAAGTGTGACCAGATCCACCCTGTGGAACTGCTGCAGAAATCCTTCCCTCTAAATGAGCAGAGGATGCCTTTTAGCCACGGGTTGCTGGACAGACTTTCTCATAAGGTGCCAGTGGTCAGCCGCGTCGCTCGCTCTGGTGTTCCCCAGGGTGGCCTGTCCGATGAGGTGCCTGGGGTCAGAGTCCGCTTCACAGGTGGAGACAAGGACCGTGCAGTCCCATGCCGAAGGCTCGGGCATGTGGAACAGGAAAGTCTCGTTGAAAACGATGAGTGGTGCGTGGGCCCGCGGCCTGGATTTCTGGGGCTTTTGTTTGTGGCGTCTGCAGGAAACATCTGTCCATGCATGTACATCTGTGATAGGGAAAGAGAAAGAGGAAAAATGAAATGCCGGGGGAGCACTGGGGCGTCGACCTCTCTCACAGAGCTGGACATTTCAAATGTTGACATACTATCGCATAAGTTAGCTATGCTGGGAATGGGCTAGCTGTTGATTAGAGTGAAATATTGTTAACTCTGTAGGCTTGATCGCACATTTCTCGACGTTAGCAATAAAGCTCGTGTCGGCTTCAGCACTGCTGGAATTCAGACCCCCTGACCTGGGCAACCCCATCTTTGTAGGTACGTAGGTAGTAGGACCTAGGCAATCCTTACCATCCTATAATGATAGGGCATGATTTATTAAGAGGGGTATATATATATATATATACTTCAGAGTAATCTCTGCAGCTGCGAAAGGCTCTCTGAAGTAAGCAGAAAGGGCTTTTGATGAAGGAAAGGTTTTACTCTCATTAGCACTATGGGTGCTTAATGCTAAATCCAACACCTGCGTCAAGGCTTGGAAGGAAACAGTGCAGAGGAGCCTTTGCAAATTGCTTTGCCTGTATTTAATTAGTGCAATGGAAAACTATAGCTCTAGAGGAAAAGGTGAGAGATATTTTGAGCATGTAGGGGATGTGGGTAGAGTTCAGCCTAGGAGAAAAAAGCTCAAGAATATCAAAGTCTGCTCTGCTTCTTCCAGTCCCAAGGGGAAACGGGTGTGTGGAAATACAAGAGGGAGAGCAGGACACAAAGAGAGGCTAAGGAAAGGGGCTGCCCACCTTCTCATCTGCTCTGCGCTACAGGAGGAAAACAGCCAGATCTTCCCCTCCCTCCGTTCTTGCAACTAGCTGGTTGGTGCAGAGGAGAAACCCACATAAGACAAAGACCCAAAACTGGAAGCGTGGTTGGGTTGTGCTGGGTATCGATATCAGTTTTGGGTTACAGGTGAAGAAGGTGGCTCTACCTCAGCTTTCTCAAGGTATGGAGCTTCTCCTCAGCTTATCTGCAATGCAGAGCATCTCTAAGGCTGCTTTCAAGTGTCCATGGCCCATTTCAGCAGTGGAGATGGAAAGATGGTAGCGGTGCACTGGCTACATCCCCAAGGTGCACTGTAGCCTCTCCACACTGTTCCCACCCCGGAGAATCCTCAAGAAGAAAATCAAATTTGGCACTATACTGGGGTTAACAAGACTGTACTGAAATCTGGTCTCTGGGTCTCCACAGAAATGGGATTCAAGTCCTGTGATGGATAGAAGAGGAAGGGAAGGTGCAGCCTGAGAGAAGTGGCTGAGCATTTCATTAGTATGCTGGGTCAGTGGAAGCAGTTCCCATGTTAAAACTCGTGGGATTTAACATCAGATGGCCACCTTGTTGAAAGAGCTGAGGGCTGCTTGCTGGCTTGGAGCAGTGCGGCAGCGGTCAGTGTTGCAACAGTCACATAAGAACTACAAGCAGCTGACGGAGGTGGCACATTCCAAGAGTGCGGTTCTTCGTGGGAGTGTAGTTTGGCTGTGAAACTCCACGCCACAGGGAGTTGCTAAATGTTTACAGGGGTTTAAGGGGAGGCTGGATGAGTGCAGGCGAGAGAAATCCATTGGGAATTTCTAAATACACAGAAGCTAACTCCAGCTTGGGAAATCTTGTTAGAGGCAGGCTGAGTACAGAGGAGCAGTCTCATTTATGCCTGCCCTGCTTCTATACTCTTCCCTACTTTGTCTACTCTCAGAGACAAGTGCTGGGCTGGACAGACTTGCACTTTGATTCGGTAGCAGTTTTCTGCCAGTGCTGGGGGGGTTACGGGCACAAAAGGGCCTTTTCTCTCAAACACCTCCCCATCCCTCTGTATAGGTGGGATGAAGGTAGCAGGCAGCAGAGTAGAGAGTGGAGCAGCAGGGGAAATGAAACTCTTACTCTTATTTGCAGTACTGCAAGGGGGAGCAGTTTTTGCCTTGAGCAGCCCAACTTCTCTCCTCTGGGAGATGGGAAGGCACTTCAGGGACACGAGCACTTCTCCCACGACGTCCTGCGAAAGGCACAGCGGCATGCAGTGAGCAGAGGTCCAGCACAGCAACCTCTACAGCCACCAAGGGCTCACCTCAACATTTCTGCAGCTCATCAGAGCCCTGGGGCCTCAGCAACAGAGACCGTTAGAGCGTTCTGGCCAAATCCGGCTTTCCAGCATCCTTGAGACTGAACTTGAGCCTTTTAACTTTTTAACAACTGCCAGCAGCAGTCCTTTCTCTGTTCTGCGCAGTAGTTTCCTTTTCTCCTAAGGCAGAAATGGAATAGCTGCTGACCTCCTTTAGCTGGGTTATCTGGGTGAGTGGATCTGTTCTGAGTTTTGAACCCTATCAAAACCACAGTGGTTTGCCAGTGTTTTGCCCACACCATATCAAGTACTTACCTATTACTTTACAGGGTTAATTAAACAAGCTGCTTTCAGCCTATAAAAAAGAGGCTTTCAGCCATCCCTGGTTCCTGCAGGCAGTGAGAGACGAGGCAGTATGGTACAGATTACATCCAAGTGCATCCGTACTAGTTCTCATGGTGTTACAGTATTAATTTTTATGACACTGCAGTATTTTTCTAGAGGGCCCCTGAGGTTGTAGCCTTTGCTGCATTGCCTATCTGTGAGAGACAGGTCTGAAATTAAATTCATCCAAGTCCACAGACAGTCCCCAAGGATGCAGGACAAGAATTTTTCATTAATAAAACTACAAGATGGCTGTACTAACATGCATGTTTTAATATGCCCCCCACCCCCGACACTGTTTAGACACACTGTGTAGGACCATGTAATAGAGTCATACTACCTTTGTGCTCTTCTGCAGCTCTTCGCATAAAACCAGGCTTTGGGAAGCCTTTAGGTCTCTCAGGGCAACTCTGACTTCTCCCAGCACAGCATTTCTGGAGTATTTGTCGAAGCATTGAACCTGTGGAAGAGAGGGAACCGACGTGTCCACAGGGGGAGAGGTGCAGGATGGAGCTATGTTGCAGGTTGCCTCCATGTGGACCACAGCGGAACCTCCTACAAGGGGAGCTCCTGCTCCAAGGCCCATTTCCATGTGTTTCCATTCCCATCGGTGGTCCTTAGGCTTTCAAGGACTGGGCTGGACTGTCATGATAGCAAAGCAGCCCTGTGCTAAGAAGTAACATTCAGAGGCTTTCTTTTAGTGGTATCACCTGAAGCAACTCTTCTGCCATTCTTTCATCTCTGCTTACCCCCTACCACTCTGTGATATTTACCTAATTGAACATTAAGTAGTGTTATCTCACACAGTCTCCTTTCTCAGATCATCTTGGACAGGCTGTGCGAAGGCCACGCCACCTCTGATCCCTTCCGCCATACAAGGTCTGCATCCCTCCCAGCAATGGCCTGAGGAGCAGGTGGGCCCTTGCACAAGGGCATGCCCTTCGGCAGCTGCCCACACTTGTTTCGTGACAACTTTGGGCTTTTACTGTGGGTGCTCGCATATGGCCTCAGTCCCCTCTCCATGTCCCCCCCGCAGTTGTTTCTGCTGTGTTTTGGTCTCGAGCGTGCAGCCTTCCCGCACATCTGCTCTCAGCTCCCGGCCTTTGTTGCTTGCCGCCAGTCTTGGGAGTACGGTTGCGGTGTGTGGCCATTGCTGCGTGCATGGGTTTTATGCAGGCATGTTTTAATTTTGAAGTGAAACCTTTTAAAACTACTTCCTGACAGGGGAGAGAATTATTGCCGTCAGTTCTTCCCACTTGGATCATATAACTCAATGCCAGTGTGTGAATCTAGCTGGAGTCTTTAAGAGGGCAGCATGAAACCACTTCAGCAGCTTATGGCTCTTGCTCCCCTGTGTTTTCTCTCTTAGCTCCGTCTCCATTTCCCCTTCCCTCTCTTGCTCTGTGTGCACAGCCCATCTCTCCTCCGTGTACTGTGCTCTTGCCCTGCCGTTGCAGCTACCCATGTCATTCTGGCGCTTTGCTGTGGCGATTTCCTTTGATAAACTTACCAAGTGCTTTTGCTAGTGAAGGTGCCATACCACAAGTGAATGAAGAGATAGGAAAACTAACTGCCAAATCAGAGGGACTTTGACGTAATGTGTTACTGGACATTTGTCAAGGGTCATGAGATGTTTAGCAACACGTGGGAATCACCATTCAGGTTCAGAGGTACAATCCATCTAGTCCAGTGACATCTTTTGAAATGGCAATTGCTGACTGCTCCAGGAAGGGAGCAAAACCTGATGGTGGCCATTAAAGGATGACGTGCCCCCCAGGGAAACCCATCTATCCTGGCTGTTTACGTCTCTTAGCTAATGCCTTGAGCCATGTGCGTTTGCACCAACTCTGCAATATCGGTTTGTCTTCTCACTCCTGTTAGCGCAGCTCTAGATTTCTGGGGGACCCACTTCTCCCTGCCTCCAGCTGAGCCCTTAGGCTCAGCGTTATAGCGTGGCCATTGGTACAAACCACAAGGACTTCAGCTTTGTGCCCTGTCTCCCTGCTGGCTTGGGACATCTGCAGATCATTCATGGGGAACAGCTTGGGGGGCAGGCGACTGCGTGGGAAATGGCCTGTCTACTGTGGATTTCACCAGTAATGGCTTTGCTACTGTCCCCTCAGCACACCTTTCAAAGACATCCCAGTCTATAGGATATCTCACAGCTAGCTGCTGCCAAGGCATGAGGTACGTTCAGTATCCCTGGGCAATTAGAGGTACATCTGCCTCTACAGGCAGACCCGAACTAGCTCTGAATGAGGCAGCTCGGAACTGGTCAAGCCACAATAACAAAGAATTAGGCAAAACAGGCTGCTCACCATGTCATCTCCATCAGAGCTAGCCCTGCTCTCTCCACACAGCTCTACCCAGAGAGGCAGCCCATTCCCTGCAGTGCCATGCGTTTACCCCCTGCCTCAGTCTCTGTGCCATATCCTGCTGCAGGACCGCGCATCCAAGTGCATTTGCACAGGGAAAGCCTGTGTCAAAGGAAGGAAGAACATAGAGCTAGAGGCACCATCTCGTGCCTCAGGGATATTGAATCACCCCTGTGTAAATACTGCAGAGCCCAGGAATAACATGTCCAAGAAATTATTAGAGCACCTTTTTGAAAGCCAATGAATCTCAGGAACTCCAGGCTTTCTGGCTGCTGGTGACTCATGTAGTCGGCTATCGTGGTCTTATTTGTGTTGCTGAAAGGCCAACATCTCTGCTGGCTGCACTCTGAGAGGACCTGGCGAATGACTCTAGAGAGCTACTAACCCCCTCTGCTTTCTTCGGAAGGGTAAAAGAGGGAGACCTCTCAAGAGGCCAGCATGGAGGGAGCTTCCCATCACACACTTTGTCTGTGGTCAAGGCACCGTTCTGCGTGTCTACCAATTGAACTAGCATAGCACAGAGACAACTCAGGCATTAGTCAGCTGCATCGCACCTCCAGCTTCAGAGTGCTCTTCTCCACCTCAGTGTCCCGCAGGGAGCAGACAAACTTGTCCCCAAAGGCTGGCCTGCCGCAGTTCTTCACCACCTGGCTTTGCCATTCATGGACCATGTACTGGAGCCCAGGGATGCGGGACGGGACCTGCCTCAGCAGTCGGATACGGACAGCAGACTTGGCACGGCCTCGGCTAGGCGGGCCCCTGGCCTCCAGGCCTGTCAAAAGCAGCTCGCACCGCTCTCTGCAGTAGAGGAGAGAAAACTTCAGTTTGCCCTGGGAGCTGTGCAGGAAATCCGAGTCACTGCTCACGCCGTTCAGGTTCTCCGTCCTGGTGGAGGAGAAGGAAAGGCAGGCACTTGGCTTGTCCAGCTCAGCTCGTAACTTCTCGATCTAAGGCAAACAAGGACGGGAGGAAGAGAGAGAGAGAGTCTTTTGCAGTCCAGTAAGCTTGAACTTCCCTTCTTTTCCTACTGCAGTACGAATAGGTGAAGGTGCATTTGTACCAGGGGGATGTAGCGCAGGGGTCTAATCTTGGTTCAGACTATTGTGAAGAAAGAGGTGGAAGAAGCGTCAGTGAGACTCCCTCGCCTTACTTGGGAGCTGCATTTAATCTCCTGCTCTCGCCCTTGGTCCCTGCCTGAGCTGCGTTGCAGCCAGGCCCATGTCTGGCTATGTACCCCATTGATCCAGATCCTGACCTGTGGATGTGGCTTCCTGGCTCGACCTCGGACCTGCTTCCTCACTCTGGGCTTGTCTGGCGATCTGGACCACTGGCTGGCCCTGGTTACTGCTACCCGACCTACTCTGCCCTTTTTGCTCAGGCACGGGGGGGG